GGGGCGGAGCTTCTTCTTAACTTCTTCCTCGAGGTTTAATTTACCCATCCATCAAGTTAGAGGGGTGACTGCATTCAATTTCGATTTTTTCCAATTCATTTTTCACCGGTAGGCTCACCCGCTGTTATCTATGGAATTTTAGGGTAGTATTAGCAAATCAGGTCTGTGGTTAAGATTGTAAAAAATGATCCTGATTGTGATTCTTCATCATCCCCCTACTTTCACAAGAACTTCCCAAGGCAATACTTAGATCTCCTGTTGCAGATGTGACAACCAGTGTCTCGCGCCAGGACAGTTGTGCAATGGGGTGCAGGATTGCCAAGACGGTTCAGACGAACAAGCTGATAAGTGCCTCCATTCAGACCGTAATCGAGGTTCGATCGCAACCACAAAATGGCTTCCTCCTTGTATTCTTATAATTATTCATTTTACCTTCATTCAACTTCAACATGAGTAGAAGAGGATCTTCCTAAAATAGTGTAACACCCATCTTTAAAGTATAATTTTATGTTTTAATGATAATACCAAGGTAAAAGGAAAGGTCAACACACAAGTATTCCTTTCTGCCAGAGTGTGGAGCTTTTCGAGCCCTTATGACCTATAATTAGACCGGTTTCCAAACCAACTTTATTCTTCGCTAGCCGTAGATTATTAAATCGAGTCTTCTGGCGCGACGCAGGTTGATCCCGCTTGAGGGATGCGCCGACGCATTCGACTTCCGTTTACAACGTAATAGCGTAGTGGATGCGTATATGGCCTATACAGTGGCTGGCCAGCCGACGTACAAGTCACTGCTTTTATTCCCCCAAACAGGTCTGGTACCATCCAATGGACCGTGGAGGGATGGAGGGCTAGGTTGGCCAGGGCGAAAATCGATCTGAGACTGAACCCGTGGCCATGCATGTGTGATAATGCGCCACTTGCCGGTGCGCCACTTTCGCTCTCGTAGATTACTACACATAAACAACGATTTATGGATGTTTTTTTCGCGAGCTGTTAATTCGAGTGATGTTAACTATGCATTTTCCGAGAAGGTGCTCCGTTTCTAGGCCTGACATTAATTTGACTAAATATGGATAAAAGTTTGCCTGTTTACCTTTCATTGTTAAACAAGTTGTTCACGCAATTATGAAAAACTTACACATAGCATTCCACTTAACTCTTTTTCATGATAACCAAGAATTAATGAGAGTAACTCTAAAAAAACTAGTAATTTTCAGGCAGTTCCCAGTCACTTGTGGCCAAGATACAAGTGTCGAAGAATATCTCCGATGGAAATGAAACCGAGCCAGATGCCACCAAAACAATCACGACCACAGCTTCTCCGAATTTGACAAATACAACGGCAGTTACGTCAACTACAACGACGGCTAACAGAACAACAGCAAGAGTATTGGTTTTAACAGCAACGGCTAAAGCGGAAATCTATCCAGAGAATACTTCAAAGTTGCCCAATGGCTCAGAAATCGTTTTCAGTGCAAACAACGCCACACCTCTTCCTAATATGGAGCACCAGGCTACTACACCCACGTACTTGAAGTTCTTAAACTTCTCATTTCTAGAACCCGTGCGCAGCATCGTTTCTCAGAAACAGGCTCAAGTAGATTGGATAGTTCCGGAATCAGCTAGGCAATCCACCACACGGTTAATGGCAAAAACTTTTCGTTCTTTGACGACCGAGAAACCAGATATTGGCTTAGTACGGAAGAGGAGAGAAGCCAATATGACTATAGAAGGCGAGCCGATGAGTAAAGAGGAAGAGCAGCCGACGAATCCACCAGCCCCAAGACCCATTGTTCCGCAAGCAGTTGAAGAAACAGAGCTGGAACCAGTGAAGTCAGTCGTAGGAGTGCCGATAAAACCAATGAATCTGTAGATCCTTTGACAAAGTCACAGTTTTCGTTTTCATGTGCTTCATATTAATTTTTGGAGTAGATATAAAGTAAGTAAAGCTCTGTTACACGACAGTCATAATTCAGACCTATCAACAATTATTACATGATCACTGCACTTGCTTTTGAACAGGCTCTCTCTAGTCCGCTAACCCCGACGACCCTTGCGGAGCTAGCGGATTGAAGCTCAGCTCAGATTAGGCCATGAAAACACCCAATATCTGGAACTATGGCCTCTGAAGTAGAAAAATTGATACTTAATCATACCCAACATACAAGCTGCAAAATCAACCTGGTCGTTCCTCACGCTTTTAAAGTTTGGGAATCCCCTATTGCTGAAGAAATTGTGATTTATTGAGTGATTTTAGTTGCTACAGTTTCTTCTACGCACTAATCAGTTCTTATGGTTTTCCATGGTCCTTTGTCGCAGTCCCCGGCATACATTACTCACTCAGCAGTGTCAGTTCTGCGGTGCAGCCTCACCATAAAGCGTAAGTGCCTGTCTAGAACATAGAAGTAAGGCAGTGTCGTGTAAACTAGTCACAAAGGATATTTGCAATGAAGGTCTTACAGGGCGTGGGACGCTTTTTGAAAATAGTTTTTTGTATGGTGTAGGGGCATGAGCACTGAGTATATGACTATGGTGCACTTTCCGCCAAAAAAGTGTTGAAAATGATTTTGTCAGAAATCGCCGCTTTGACCCACTAGGCGTCGTTTGCTTCGTCCATGGCGTCGACTATCCGCACAGTAGAAGGGGCCAGCGGAGGCGACATTGAAAATCACGTGAACGGTAGTAATAAATAGGGCCCACATGCTGAAGAGAAGTTAGGCTATAGGCTCTTCACGGCTGAGCGGCTAGCAGCGACGGATGGCGTGTTGGTTAGCGATATAGACTTCGAAGAGGGACGGCTACGGTAGGTTGATGGTTCGGACTCCCGAGGCTTTGCCGTTTTTGCATTTTATGTTGCCACCTCCAGATTGGTTCCATATTGCAGCAGGACGAAAGCAAGTGCCTGACTGGTCATGGTCGTGACCAGGACCAGCGTTAATCTCTACAAGTAGTTATAATTTGATATGGGGCTTCAGCTTCCAAGTTTCACACTCTCAGGGATATAAAGGAGTCACTTCATTTGACACTATATAAGTGTTGTAATAGGGGCTCAAAACCCTATAATATGGTTCCTGTTCGATGGAAGCTGTCCTCGACCTCGTTCGTCAATGCAAAGATAACACGATTCCCACATTCATTGTAGCTCCCGATTCCGACTCTTCCCTAGGCGTCAACCGTGGACTTCTGTGGGAAAACGAATCAGATTCTCCTTCAATTGGTCTTCTTGTTGAAGGATCCATGGGCTTGATATAAAAAGCTGTCACCCCTGAGGGAAATCATTCAAGTGCCTTATTACTAGATTAATGACTATATGAAGAGTTCGGGCGATACCCTTCTCCAACATACGATCCCCTCACTCCGCGTGCTGCTATGAAAGGCTGGCAGAACGCTATCAATAAGCACATTGCTGAGGTCGAGGTGACTGCAGCAGATACTGATCGTGAAGAGAGAAGGAGATGGAGATCACCAACCAGAACAGTGGACAAAAACCCTTCAATGGCGGAGAGCAGCTAGGGTGAAAGACGGTGAAATCATGGAATCTAGATGCGCCTTTCAACAGTTTTGAAGGACTTCGGTCGAAATAAAACAGCAATCAATTCATTACTGTCCAAATCGTTCAAAAAATTGTATGGACGGATGGATGTATGGCCCAACGGCGTACTATGGAAGCAGCCACTGCACGACCGATCGCTCAACTCAACGAAAGCGAAACAATAATTTCGTATGCCTATTGCGAACTACCGAAAATTAAAATACAACTCTAGACGAAAACACATTTATTCTAAATGCAGTCAGGTGTTATGCGCCGATAGATAACACGGGATGGTTTTTTTCTCCGAAATTTATAGATTTCTATCCAAACACTCGTCGTCAAAAAAATTATTTTGAAAAAAGCTCATAGTTCTGGAATTTGAGAACATTCAGCGCGTAATTTCTCGTTATACCCATCAAAGGTAAACACTTTCCCACAAGCACCTCGTTCTGCAACCCTTCAAAGGTACTCGGAAGCATTGCAGGTTATGTCTTCGAAGTGAACTATGTCCAAGGAATGAAGATCAGAAAACCATGACTTTCCGCGAGTTTCAACCCAGTTTTTAAAAATGTGGGTGAATTTTTCAGCTGAGTCAGTAAAGAAAAAGGGTGTACATACTGAAATAGTAGGTGACATAACGCACGCTAGAAACCGATCAAGATCTTCATGAGACCCCATCACGCTTTTCGCCTGCGAGGATCAGCTATGTTAGGTACATCAGGAGTTATAGAAAAGTGGAAAGCCCGATGCAAGGGAACATAGATGCGGGCGGGCTAACAAAAGTCAATCTCACCCTGAGGCTAACAAAGTCTTGCCTAGTTCTCTCATTTGTATCAGTTAGTGTGCCGAAAACTCATTTGAAATCCAAGCTCGCTCAAATTTCAAAAACTTTTNCCCCATCACGCTTTTCGCCTGCGAGGATCAGCTATGTTAGGTACATCAGGAGTTATAGAAAAGTGGAAAGCCCGATACATAGATGAACATAGATGCGGGCTAACAAAAGTCAATCTCACCCTGAGACTAACAAAGTCTTGCCTAGTTCTCTCATTTGTATCAGTTAGTGTGCCGAAAACTCAATTGAAATCCAAGCTCGCTCAAATTTCAAAAACTTTTCCTTTCGATAAACTTTTATGCCAGCAATGGATTTTTGTATCATTGAAACCAAAAACATTTTGTGCACCTACAGACACATTGAGAGACCAACGTAAAAAAACACACCAAGTTGCCAGAAAGTTTCTAGGGTATAAAATAGGAGGTCTGGATGACCGTTTCTAGTCGGATCTGAGATTTTCAGTGAACTCAGGCAAACACACAGCAATTCATAGCAAGAAATTTACTATCAAATTGACAGATTAAGTATAAATTCTAAATGGTGTCGTCAATAAGCGAATCACTCATTTTCATACATATTTGTTTGAAGACAGGTTTTAATTACACCTTGCACCTTTGCCAGCATTGCGAGTGATTGTATAAGCCAATACACGCTGAATCTCAAACGCAGTTGGTCGAGCTCTGAAGACCTTATGTTGAGAACAATTCGAAGAGTTTCTTGCGGCACTTGAAGGCTCGTTCCCAAACATGGTTAGTGTGCGACGGTTGGATACTGAGAAGAACAACTTTCCTTTGGTCGAGTGCCTATTCAGGAGTTAACAATGAGTATCTTTATTTAACTGTATTCTATTTCTATATAACATTGATTAGATGGCGCTGAAAAAACAGTGTGTTTCAATAACAGACATTTTCCCTTTCTTTTTGCATTCAGTACTTCAGTTTGAACATTTTGCACCTCTTTCTAGTAAAGTGCTCTCCAAAATAGGGGATTATGACAAAGGAAATCATTATTTTCTCAGGTAGCTGAACAAGCGAATGCTGAACGTTTCTTCCAGTCATCTCGCTAGAACACTGTGTAAACGCTAAAATATCCGTTGACTCTGCAAATGACTTTTTTGGACAGATGCTATAAAAATAAATGTATTTTTGGGTCGAAGCAGGCAAAGCTATCCTTACCAGCCCCTCAAATGGAAGGGTTGCAGGGGAAATTTGTCGTTTCCAAAATGTTAGTACTCTTTTCATTATTGGTTCTCATTCCACAGCAGTTGCTTCCCAAGGTAGGGTTTTTCTAAAATTAATGTCAGCCATAAATAAGATATATATCGGCTATTTTATTGGCCCTTATCGTCTTCAATATGGGGTAATTATTTATTTGTTTTTAGTTGACCTTTTAAGGGAAGGAGCGAAAGATACCTTTGAAACCCTGAACACGCGGTACAGCGACAATGTGGTCAGTTTTACTGAATGGTTTAGCTTCGCAGTTTGGTTTATTTGTAACTATCGATTCACAGGAATGGAGCTATGAGTGGGCAGAAAAGGCACTGAAATATTTGAAGTCGCCTGGTAGTGTGAAGGCTGACTCGGCCATCAATAAAAAACAGTTCGTTCATAGGCCTTGATAACAACTCATTCAGCATCTTATTTTTTGTTCAAACATCCTACTCTTTCAGATCTTTCCCCGCGGATGATGCACAATAACTGTGACAAAACTTGCTTGCATTCCCTGAGCCACCCCTCGACAAAAAAGAAAGCGGTGGGTCATGAGCTTCCTGATCTTATTGGAAATCGTTTCCTCTAGAATTCAATGTATGATGAGGTTTTGGACGAGATTGACAGTTGGATTTCGTTAAGCTTGAAGTCTCCCCGCGTTGATTCGACGATCTGTGGATTAAACGGCTTCATCAACAGAAAGGGGCACAAGGACTTTATCTCCGCTGCTTGTCTTTACAAAAAAACCTTGATACGTGTTTTAATGTGATTCTCAATGAATAGGCAATACAGGTATGTGTAATACAACATTAGAAAGAAGAGAAGCTTCCTTGTCGATGCGTTGTGGGTGTGCTACGAAGTTCAGAGACTGCATTGTGAGCGTGCTATAAAGTTATAAAATTTCAATATTGATTGGAGATCATCGTCAGCCAAGAGCTAAATCTTCTATAATGCAACTCACTAACCTGGTGTGCTTGTTCTGCTAGTCCCTCAATGCGTCTGTGGGTCTAGGAAATGCCCCTGACATAGCTAGTGGTGGTTATACAAAAATCCATTGTTATCATAAACGCTAACAGGAAGAGAAATTTGTCAATATGTAAGTACTGACGTTGGTATGGTTCGATAGCTTGAGGACAAACATTGATTTTTTTGCGCAATTCCAAGACAGTAAACTCGCTGAGATAATGCCAAACTTCGAATACTCACAAAACGTCAGTTCTCTTTGCTGCATGGTCCATAGTAGCTCGATTGGGTGAAAATGTAGTTGGGGGG